GATGGATGGATGGATGGATGGATGGATGGATGGATGGATGGATGGATGGATGGATTATTGAACGTTAAAGGTTCAAAAAGCTTGATAACAATAGAATAACAGAAAATAACGTTTTTTTTCAGCCATGGGAATAATCAAGAAAAATATGGCCAACTTCACCGGTGATTCTTATCCACATTACGACCAGCTCAGCGAGAAATGGCAGTTAGGAGACAGGCTGTATATTCCCCCAGAAACAGCCGACGCCTTCAAGACGCGTGGTATATTTCTATCCTACTAGTTGAAGTGATGTTGGGAAATTCTTAACCATTTCTTTCCCTAAATTTGTTAATTTTCTTTTCTCTTTTTAGCAGAGGGCAGCGAGACTACAGTATTTTTCGTGCTGTATAATCGAATCAATAACGCTCTCAAAAGGTAAAAACCACATCACCACAATCTATGCTGCATTAAGTCCTACTCGAATCCATGGTCCAGACTCGTAGCAATAGCGAACCAATCACCTTTGCAGCAGTTTTCTCAGTAGAATAGAAATCCTGTTCCACGAACGACTACACAGTATCTGTTGTAAAGAGTACTACAAGGATAACGAGACAATTTTATTTTATTTTCTCAAGACAGTAATTAACCATTTTACTGCGATCATAGTTTTAAATTCTGAGATATTCTAGTTTATTCATTGAGCTAGTGGGACATAGCAACGGTAACTTTGATACTGATCGCATAAATCAATTAATTTTTTGCAGCAATTTGAAGGAAGGAACAGTCATCAATTCCCGGGTGTTATCAGTGGGGTTTGATCGAGATCTGATAAACCCGTTACCCAAACCTGTCGTCATTTCCTTCACTAAATATCAGGTAATTATAACCATAGTTTCCAGTTAATGCGTTGCGAGAGATTTTGAGCAAGGAACGGTCACAATACGGAATAGTCCCCTTCACAGTTCCCTGCGCCATCTTGAAAGGCAGCCGTGCCTTTGCATCGAAGCGAGACGAACGGTGAGCTTGGTAATGATAGAGACATGTGAATAATTGTCCAAGGTGTTAAAAAAAGGTCTCTATCATTGCAAGCTCACCATTCTTCTCGCTTTCATGCAAAAGCACGGCTATATACCTTTCACGAGGGCGCAGGGAACTGTGAAAGGGACTATTGAAGAAATCGCTAAGTTTGTCCCACTGAGCTAAGCTACTGGTCACCCTGTGGTAATGCGTTTTTGGAAACGAGCATAAAATAGGGCCTTTTCCCTTGGGAGTAATGTTTTCCCATTCCAGACCACGTGTCTTTCCCTAGAGAACCGTTTCTTTGTTTAACGGTTGTGCATGAGAAGATATGAATGAGGATACAACTCAAACAAAGCATCTTATTCTCAAGAGATCGGACATCAAGAGATTGACACGTGGTATGAAATGAAAAATATATATACGCCCAAGGTAAAGAGGTCTATTAATTCGACTCTACTTCTTGCCACGTATAGTCTGTAGGTATGTTTTACTCCAAGGTCGTCCTTGTTGTCAAGGAGGGTGAAATCGTTCAACGTTCTCAGACTATAAAAACTCCTCTTTTTTTTTTGTCCAGATGGATAACTTAACAAGTCCAGTTTGTTCATTCCTCGACTTCAGCAACAAGTAAGTAAGAACACCAACGACTTTACATTTGGTCTAGTGACGCTTGCAAGCAAGATAACTCCAATGGGCCTTTTCTCAGATAGCGAACGTAGTGCATTCTGGTCTATCTTGGGCATAAACATGTGCGCTAGCATTGTCTTGTAATTGTTCAGTGGTATCAATCAGCTGAAATAATGTAATGAACCTCATTACCAGCCTGCAATGAAGGGTAAACACTGCCCGTCAAGTGCTATCTGGGTATCAATCAGCTCAATGATTATCATTACCAGCCTACAATGAAGGGTAAACACTGCCCGTCAAGTGCTATCTGGGTATCAATCAGCTTAATGATTATCATTACCAGCCTACAATGAAGGGTAACACTGCCCGTCAAGTGCTATCTGGGAATCAATCAGCTTAATGATTATCATTACCAGCCTACAATGAAGGGTAACACTGCCCGTCATGTATAATCAACCAGAGAGTATCCTATCTGGATATCAATCAGCTTATGAATCTCATGAATCCTATAACCGACCAGCCTTCAGTAAAAGACAAACAGTACCCTCCATTTTCATTTACCCGTGTCCATTTCTACTGAAAGTTTCTACCCGAGACATGAATTTTCTCCTTTTTTTCCAAACAGAACGTCAGGTGATTGGTCGAATCATGGTGTCAAAATGACGTCATTTGAAGGTAACAAGATTGAGTGCGAAAGTAACCACCTGACAAACTTTGCTGTTCTCATGCAAGTTAAAAAATTCAAGGTGTGTAAAATAACGTCAAATAGAGGCTTTGCACCATCACGTGCCTACGCCCATAATTCAGTTTGGACTGCCTGTGGATAGATAGCCGAACAATAAAATCCCTTTGCTCTTGGGAATTGAATTCTTTCTTATGTAAAACGATTGTATTATTTCTGCCATCTAACATGGCTGCCGTCACGTGATGGTGCGAAACCTATCAAACTAAATCTCTAAAGGGTAGGAGAGTGGACTACCTGTGTCATTTTGTTGAACGCTTTTTGGGCTTCCTGTGGTTTTAGCAATTAAAATCGTTTTGCTATGTTTGTTGTCAGATTTCCAAACCACATACACAGGCCTTGCAGATGATTACATACATCGGCTGTGGCATCTCGTTGTTTGGCCTGGCTCTCACCCTGGCCACCTTCCTATCTCTTGAGTAAGTAAATGTGTTCATACGCTGCATCAGCCAAGCACCGGAAAATGGAAGGCCTGAAAACTTTCACAAACAAGGACTCCGTTGTTTCCTTTTATCTTTCGCTTGTTTCTTCTCTCTCTTTATTCTCATCCTTTCCTTATTTTCGTTTGTTTGGTCATGTGTTCGTACTCGTACGTTTCTATCTTCCACCTTTCCTTCCTCGTATTTTTTCAATCTCTTTCTCGCTTTCTTTTATTTAAAATCTTTTTAGTTAATAGACCCTTTTCGAGTTCGAAATTACTGCTGTGTTTCTTGATTACAGACTCATTTGCTCAGGCTAAGCCTTGATGTTGTGAAGAATATTCACGTTTTCCAGTCAAGGTCCGTCAAGTTTCAAAGTGTTCGTATTGTTGAACTTGTGCATTCTTTACTTTACCGTTGGTATTTGCTAGTAATTAGACACTGATTCGAGGCTTAGCCTGAGCAAATGAGTCTGTAATCAAGAAACACAGCGGTAATTTGGAACTCGAAAGCAGCCGCCATCTTGGTTGATCTAACAAGAAAAGCTTAACGAGGAATGCTTTGTTATCGTCAACCAACATGGCGGCTTTGACGTAACAAGCACCCCAATAATTGCGAAACACTGTGTTTGCTCTTGCAGGACGTTGGCGTCTGAACGAACATCAATCCACAAGAATCTAGTGGTAGCCATAGGACTCGCACAGATCATCTTCTTGGCTGGTATTGACGTAGTTTATAATCCTGTGAGTAATGTTAATTTTTTCTCTCAATTTTCTTGACATTTCATTCAGAATGTCCTTGAGATCTCTGCGTTACATTTGATCATTGATTAATGTATTGTGCAACTTTTCTATTCGATTTTTTTTTTTTTTTTYAATTTTTTYTCKTTYATAAATTGGTTGTGTGAATTATTTTATCCAATCAGATTGCTTGTAATACCGTTGTCCTGTCATTCATTATTGATTATTTTATTGTGTGACATTTTCTATCCAATCCGATCACTTGTATACACCATTGCGTTTTCACTAATCATGAGTTAATCTTATGACCTTTTCTATCCAATCAGATTGCTTGTAAGATCGTTGCGTTATGTCTTCACTACCTCTACACGGCAGCATTTACATGGATGTGTTGTGAGGGTCTTCATCTTTACACCAAAGTTATCGAGGTCTTCAGCTCTGAAGCCAGCAAAATGAAGTACTACTACATGCTAGGGTGGGGTGAGTAGTATTCGCCCTTTATTATGTACCTTACAGGGAGAGAGAGGGGGGTTGTATGTACCCTACATGGGTGGGGTGAGTAGTGCTATCCCTTCATTATGTACCGTACAGGGGGAGGGAGGAGTAATAAGGTACCTTACAATGGTGGGGTGAGTAGTACTAGCCCTTCATTATGCACTCTAGAGGGGGAGGGAGGGTTGATTATGCACACTACAGGGGTGGGGTCAGTTGTATCAGCCCTCTGCTATTAACAAGATCATCATCATTATCATGATCTTTCAGGAGTTCCTCTCATCATCGTGATCATCTCAGCTGCATCACGAATAGACGGCTACAGCACAGAATATGCGTAAGTATTATTTAAGAACACCGGGAACTAGAATACTAGAATACAATATGCGAGACTCGTACGGTCATACAAGCCGCACCTGTCCAGTGTGCAGGGAGACATGGATTATCGTGGATTCAAATATCCTTGACCACATGGCCACATGGTTACGCAGTCGGCACGTAAAGTCATTGGCTTTGCTTCTTCCCTTCATTCCTCTTGCTTTGTGCTGTTTTTAAAAATAGGGAGTGTTACGCCACACAGCAAACTTGTTTTTGGGTTGCACATTTTTGGTAGCAATAGCAATCATTGTGTTGTTCTTGTTTATTCAGGTGCTGGATATCCATCGATCATGGTTTGATTTGGGCGTTTGTCGGCCCTGTCCTCGTCATAATGTGTGTAAGTACCAATTATCGTAATCAAGCCTTTTTGCACCTCTCATCACCGTGTTGATATCTCCCCTCATTGGTAACAAATAATAAGTTCAGCTTCTCCTTGGGGAAGGCTCTGCTGCATGGCCATATAACCTTGTACATGCTTAGTATCCTGATATGGAAAGTATCTAATGGAAAAAGACATTTTGAAAAGGTTTTTTTTGGTATATGTGGAATCTTATTAGAGACCTTTAGCATCAGGTTTACCGTTAACTGCTGGGGATCAGGCCCAGAAACACACCCAGAAACACACCCACAAACACGCCCACAAACACGGAGAAACATTCATCATCAATGAAATTTAATATGGCGACTCTTCTAGCAACAACTTCGTTATGACGCCTTGCTAGATGTCGAAGTTTTGCTGTACCTAGCAAGAACATCGTGCTAAAGGTCTCTAATACCTTAAAGGGCTTTACGAACAAACCTAGAATGTGCCCTACCCAGTTATTGGAGCTTATCTCTGTGGCTCGTCCCTGCCACTTGTCCTATGTGCATTTTTTTCTTTTCTTTTTTTTTTTTTTTCTTTCTCTTTTTTCTTTTATTTCTTTTGTTTTTTATTGAAATAAACTGTTATCTTGTCCTCAAAGTTTCTTACCTCTAATTGAGCCCAGTCAGATTACATCCCGAAGCTCAAAACTGAATTCTATTCACATGTAGATCAATTTCGTTGTCATGGTGATGGTTATCAAAGTCATCCTCGCTTCTGTGACATCAATTCAGAACCCCGGCAACACTTCACAAGTTAAGTAAGTAATGTCTTAGCTTTCTGTGCGCATAAAATGCTGATCAGCGTTCCTGTATGGTGTCAGTGTTTACTCGGGCTACCTATGACTAGACAGTATTCATAACGGAAGTCTAGTCGATACTACTGGCTATCTATTAGTATATATTATTGATGCGATCGATATTTCTGTCTTTACTCGGGCTTCCTGGACAGCACAGTATGTCAAGTATATCGTGGGTTCTCCTAGTCGGTTCTTATGAACTTTTACTCGGGTTACCTGCAAAATTATTGAACTAGGATAACAGTATATTGACAATATATGATGGTTTTCTCTTAGGGCTGGTCTGAAGGGTATGGTCGTACTCCTGCCTTTACTCGGGCTAACATGGGTGTTCGGGCTGATGGCAGTCAACGAAAAAACCATTGCTTTTCAATACATCTTTGCCATCCTCAACTCCCTTCAGGTACAATTACAATACCTTATTAGTATTATTATAATGGTTTTGACGAGGCCTTCACTTAAAATAAAAAAAACAATATATGAGCCAAAACATTTGTTTAGAGTATTAGAGTATATGAAGAGAATATGAACTAAGAGAAGTAATCCTACCTATATAGTCTTGTAATCATCACGTGCACAGTTTGATGCTATTTGTAGCTGAGATATTTTGAGCGAACAACCTGATCGGTTGATTTCTTGAGGGTAGGCGGCTTCCAGTCTTGCAGTAAACAAAAGCATGTGTTTTTGTTGTGGACGGTAGCAAAATATGGCGCTTTTCGTGTCCTAAAACGAGGCATTAAAGGAAAGCATGATTATCGCGCGGGCATGGTATCGAGTCAAAAATAACATCAATGATTCTAAAAATAGCATCAAAGTGTGCACATGATGGGGCACGGAGATTACTTCTCTTAGATCATTTTCTCTTGAGTATACCTTTTATTTTATCATTTCAGGGTCTTTTCATATTCGCCTTTCACTGCATTGGTAACTCTGAGGTAACGATGAAAGCCGAACTAAAGTTGATAAAAAGATTTCAACCACCCAACACTTATACACTTATCCCAATTCCTCCAACCTTCCACAATGTCATTCATTCATATGTCTCATCCAATCCCACTGTACCTATCTATCCATTTATCCATCTGTCCCATCCCTTCCAATCCCATTTCATATATTATATTCCTCCATATTATTTCATTCATCTATCCAATGTCATCACATTTCATCTTTCTATCTATCCCACCCATTCAACCTATTCCATGCATCCATCCCATCCATTTCTTTCGTCTATAATTTCTATTGTTACGTAACTAATATTTCTTCATTCAGGTGCGTGTTGCTTACAAAAGACTCCACGAGAAACGAACTCTTGCTAAGAGTCTACCTGAACATTCTTTGTCATCTGGCAACCACCATAAGGTAAGGATTCACCATCCTTTGATAAACCAACCAACATTGAATTGGAATTTAGCGTGATGGGTTTTGCGGAGGGAAGAAATCCGGGGCACTTTCCATATATCTGGAGAAAACCAGAAATTCCGGTTGGAAAAGCAAACGGTATGTGTCATTCCGATCGGAAAGTTCCGGAAAACTGTTCCGATCGAGGTGATCCACTTTTCCCGCTCTTTTCGGTTCTTCCGATAGACGCGCGTACCATTGGTCGAACCAGAGAATCTGACTGCTACTGCTACACCACCCTTGATTTCCTAAGCTTAGTGACTTAGAATGAGAAGGATAGGGAATTGGTAGTTTCTTGGGTTTCAGTGCTAGATAACAAGAGCAAAGACATAGGTGAATGGACGTTTTTGACAATTTAATCAGTATCTAAAAATAGTAGATTTTAGCCTTTCGCGTGACGTATTCAAAATAAAAAAGAGTACTAGTTTGTACGGTTTTCGCGCGTTTAAAATGTTTATAGTATCTAAAATATTCACTTTTATTGTTCACTCATCTATTTCTTTCACTTTCTCATTCTCCCTTTCTAACATTAATCACTGTATATCACTCACTAGACTGTGTAGACGCCCAAATTATGAAAAGGAAGGAAGGGGATTCCCTGCACTCTTAGGGGATTCCCCTTCCTTTTGGGCCTCCTCATAGACTAGTGACTCAATTGTTCCCTTTACCTCTCTTTCTCTCTTTCTCTCTCTGTGCCTGAACTGTCTGTCTTCATTCTGGTGTCGTTCAGAATGTAGAGGTAAGATAGATAATACTCTCTCTTTTTTTAAGTCGACTGAAATATTTTGTTGGGGCACTTTTTATATTTTTGAGACCTAAACGACAACAATCTACATCTAACTAATTGGATTTACCACGGAAAGCCGAACGGGTTTTGCAATCCATTTGATAAGGCTACCGATAGATCGAATTAGAAGTAAAGTTTATTTTTGAGGAGGGAGGAAAACCGGAGAACCCGGAGAAAAACCCCCGAAGCTCAGGAGAGAACCAACAAACAACTTTACTCACATACGACACCGACAGCCCGGTGGGACTCAAACCCGAAACTCTATTGTTGTGCCTTGTGTCATGTCTGCCATCATGTGATGATGCAAATCATTTTTTCTACGGTAAATAAGGATTTTCCATCTTTAACCCTTAATTCAAATAATACTTGTAAATGTTAGGTGACATAAAGTCTGATACTTATTTTGTGCATTTCAGGAATTTAACAAGCGAAGAATGAACTCACGTGAAACCAACTCTACTGGAGACGAGGATATCATTGTTACCAAAGCCATTCGAAGTGTCTCAGGTTTGTTGTCATGACAACGGTCTTTTAACTTTTTAAGGTGGCTCAGTGCTAGTCGTTATTTTCAGCTTACACTTCTGATGGTGACTCCTTTGCATCCTTTATTGCACCTGAGATGCGCCTTCCGACATCATGCACGGGTAAACAAATCTACTTTTTTGACTGTTTCAGATGTGAAGCTGACTGGTGGAACTGATCACGTGGCCATGCAGACAGTAAGTATGGAAACTGACCCTAACGAACAAAGGGTTCCCATCACCTCCGAAACTGATCGCTTCAAAACAATTTGTTCTAAAGGTTTCAAAATTCAAATAACTTGAAAAAGTGGTCCCACCTCCTCTGGGTACGCCATTGACCTGTAATAAACAAAGCCAATCGTTTAAAAGATAAATGGATTTTAAGACGGACTAATAAATACCAACAAATAAAACGTAAATTACTTTCATAACTGATTGCTTATAAAAAAATGTCGAATACAAAAGATTATTTAACTGAACAGAGAGAGCCACAGGAAGCCCAAGAAGAGATATTGTGTTTTAAATGTGAGAATCTTATTCCTTCTACATATAGTTCGGAGATGCTGATTCGGGACGCTGGTCACTAAACTGTCCTTCACCCGACCCCCCGTAAGTATAACTAAACTATACTAAATAATAATAAATATTTAACTTTTTAAAACATAAAGTATCAAGATTGATTAATGATTATCAAATTTATCTGGTATTAATTTTAGATTCCTATAAAACATTTAACTTTATGTTATGGAGGTTTTGCATCATCACGTGCTGACGGCCACCATGTTGAATGGCAGAACAATAGAATCCCTTTACTCAGGGGAATTGAATTCTATCTGGCTCTTGTAAAACGATCGTATTGCTGGGTTTCAATCAGCTTATAAAAATCTTTGAATTTCATTATCTGCTCCAAGTATTGTTCAAACACTGACCACCATGTGTTGTCAATCAGAAAGAATTCTATTCTAAAACTTGTGCCTGATTAAGCTGATGAACATTACACACTAGACAGGAAATGACGTCAAAAGAAAACCTATCCCATCCATCTAAAATGGCTGCCTTCACGTGATCACATAAAACCTCCCTTGGTACAGACATCTTGATAACGTAATGATAAATGAGTGTTCGAATTCTACGTGTATTAAAGAGACCATAATATAGCAACTAATCCAGCTAACTGCATGCTAAGTAAATATAATATAGCTACTACTACTACTACTACTATAGGTGCATCGTTTTCCAGTCCGCCACCAAGGATCCCCGAGGAAATCCCCGCTCAGCTCCAGATATTCTTAACGGTAAAAATATTACAAATTTTGCTTTATGTTTTCTTTAATTCTGGTTTTCAGTCTCTTCATAGAAAAAGACGCAAATAATATCCCCTAGCTATCTACCTAGCTAACTGTTTTCCAGTCCCCCTCTAACAGCTTGATGCACGTCTATTCTTAACTGCTAGATCCTCGTTTTCCTCTATCTAAATATCAGTCTAACAGATTAATGCACGTCTTTTTTTTACCGCTAGATTCTACTTTTCCTATAAGCTTTCGAATCCCATCCTCCCTCTAACACCTTAATACACGTCTCTTTATGACCACTAGACTCTTCTTTCTTTCCAAAATCTAGTCCCCAGTCTTCTAAGAGGCATATCAAATTTCCCACGGAAGACTTTAGCAAACTAGCTAAGGAGTGTAATTTGACTTTGGTCTTCCTCAAAATGTCGGGTTCCTCCTACTCTATCCCCATTCTGGGAGTCAATCAATCAAAGACTTTATTTAAACGGGGTGCCCCATTTAGCTACCTGGCTGATATCCAGAGGGGCCCTGTAGTCTAACATCGCTCGACTGACAATGAGAGAAGTAATTAGCCCCCAGTACAAATATATCATGAAAACAAACTGTTTACCATAAAAAGATATAACTAGCTAAAAACTAGTGTGAGCTGCGTCGGTGTTTCTAATGAAACAGTAATGATGAAAAGGTAAATTATACACCGTGAAAAGAT